AGGCTGGTTTTGAACTCCTGGCCTCAAATGATCCTTCCTCCTTGGCCTCTCAAAGTGCTAGGATTACAGGTGTGAGCCACCATGCCTGGCCTTTACTGCCTTTTAGATGAACACATTCTTCTTCCTCCTCCACCCTTGGCCATCCAGGTATTCTGATATCTGTATACTGTGAAGGACAGAAAAGCTAACAGAGATAAACATCGTTCATGAGGCCTTGAATTTCATCAGTGAAAATGCTGAATTTCAGCTTAACTATTAGAGAAGACTGTTAAGAAACAGACTGTGTCCATCAACTTTTATTTAGATGCTTACAGTACCTATTTATTTATAAATTGATAGTGTTAATTATTAAAGTTTTAAGAATTTCAAGAGATGAAATGAATTCATAGAGGGAAAGATGATGAGAGATGAATTCATAGAGGGAAAGGAAGCTACTGCCTCACTAACCTATTTCACATATTCGCATAGTCCAACCATTGACAGTGATGAGTGGTTGTCTTTGTTTCGATTTTCAAGGCTACTCTACATTTCTGGTAAACCACAAGGTGGAGGCTGGTCTCTGAGAAGCAGATGTTTTGCTGGTTTTGAGGCCTTGTGGCTTTCCATAGAGAAGTGACAGTACAGGCCACATGAAGCTTTTACTTCCTTTTTTTTTTAAATGGGGCCATGGGTGCTTTGCACTTGATAGCATTGTCATCGATATACACTGACAGCTATGGTAGGTCTGTGTTTACACCAGACATCAAATTCATATTTCTGGAAGTAATTAGTTTGAGATGCTTGTGAGACATTCCAGTGAGTGTTCCCAGTAGACTTGAACCATAGATTTAGCCTTAGAAATACTAGTGAGAATTTTGGTGGCTATTTAGATCCAAGGAATCAATGGAGATCATATTGGAAGGCGTATGGAGAGCAGAAAGCCTAGAACAAAGCTTTGGGGAGACGCCAGCATTTAGAGGTAGTATAGAGAATTAGGCTAAATGGCAAGAAGAACACAAGGAGAGTTTGGTGTCATGGGGTCAAGAGGTCAACTCTTGTCAGAGTTAAAAATGGACCCGTTGGCTTTTAACAGTTCACATCCACAATGGCCACCGTAGCCCAGGCCCATATCATCTCATGGTTGGTTTCACTTGCACATTAAAAACGTGGTGAGAACCAACCACCTAGTGCTATATGGAGGCACAGTGGCGGAAGATATGATTCCTGTCTTTTCACAGCGTGTGGACTTTGTGGGTAAATGAGGCCTTATACAAATAAATAAACACACGAGAAGGAAGGGTCAGGGAAGTTTCACTTTGGAGTGGGAGGGATTTGAGGTGAACCTGGAATATCTTACCCAGACTCGGGGGTTCATAAAAAGGTCCCAGTGTGGGCCAGTTGGCAGTACTGGACATCCACTGGGAAAGGCAGACAGGGATAGGATCCTGGAGGGCCTTGAATTCAGGGCTAAGCGGTATAAGCACCATCCTGCAAAGACCACAGTGCTATTCTTAGGGAGGGGATGTAGGCAAGATGGTGTAGGACTTATGATGCAATCTGTAGTTTTGGAAAATTCCTTGGCAGGGGCTTGTAAATGGCTTGATGGGGGAGATGGGTTAACAGGCTAGTTATTAGGAAAGAGGGATAAAGGCCTGGCCTGGGACTAGCACTAGAGTGGGCAGGAAAGGAGGGCATTGAGAGACCTTTCTTAGGAAGAATATCGAGGGCTTGGTGATTTGATGTTGGGTCTAAGAGGGAAGTGCAGAGTTAAAGATAATGGTACCATGTCAGCAAATACTGACCACTGTAGAGTCTTCTCTGCATTTTATACAGAGCATGGCAATAAAGTGTATGGATTTTGGGCAGGGAGGCTTAGTTTGAATTCCGGCCTCAGCTTCCTTTTCTGTAAAATGGGGATAATAATACTTCCTTCTTAGGTTGCAAGGAGTTTGAATTAATATATGTGAGGCTCCCAGTGTATAGTAGGTACTTGGTAACTATTAGTTGAATGAATTGTGTTCAAATTTGAATGAATTATGTTCCATTTATTAATAATAAACGGACGAAATAGGATCTGAATTCGTTTGTGCAACTCCGATTACTCCAGTGTTCCAGAACTACCCTTTCTCACATGCTGCCTTCACTGTGTGGGCCACTTCTAACAAACCTGTGGTCCGCCACTTGGCATCAAGCCCATGTTCATTTGCATGGTCCTGGTGTTCCATGGTCTGACTGAGTCTAGATCACTCACCTTAACTGCAAGTAGACTCTGTCTCCCAAAACCCACCTCCCATTCTCTACCTCTGTCTTTCAGGGAGGGGCCTCCAACCCCCTGCATCAGCATCCATCCTTCATGATCTGGCTGGGTCTCACTGCCTGGGGAGGCATTCTGGACTGCCCCAGGCCACTCCAGTCTAGCCTTCTTCCTTTGCTGCACTGATGGGCTGCACCTGACTTTTCTGTGTGTGGGTGGATAATGTCTCAGAGTGTTCTGTAAAGACTTCTCACATACTTACCTGCTAAAAATGAATCACAGCTTAATAAAGGTCTATGGCTACCTTTATCATTTTTTAAAAACTACTCACAAGTGCTAGGTGCTCAGTAAATACCTAAATACTTAAAGAATGGATTTAGAAACAAAAGTTCTGATGACTAGGGTTGAGTGTGCCAGTAGTTCAGGTTCTCGTCTCTCACCTGGGCTGTGTGACCAGCCTCTTTAACTGGTCTGTCCCTGATCTATGCTTAGGGCATGCTGCCACTGGAGCAGTCCTCATCCAGTCTTTTCATGGAAAGCTCATACTTCAACATCTCTCCTGGCCTACAGCTAGGACCGTACCTCCTCAGCATGGCCTGAAAGGCTCCCTGCAACCTGAGCCTTGCCTGCCTCTTCAGTCTTATCTGCTGGCACTCCATTCTGCACACCCTGTCCTCCTTGCAGTTCCCAGAATGTTCTGTATGCCTTTCTTGGCTGACTTCTTGTCTTGAAGCCCTGCTAGAGCCCACCTGGCAGGCTCATGCTCTTCCTTGTCACTTCCTCTAAGACATCATAAGCAGAGTAAGTTGCTTCCTCCTCCTAGCTCCACCCACCACCCTTTGTTCCTCTGCTGCTTTTCTTGCAGGCCCTGAGATTGATCTGTTTACCTGTGTGCCTCCCTGGCTGGGCGGGAGCTCCTTGAGGGCAGGGCCGGCTCTCCGTGGATATGCCTTGTGCGGATGTGCTGTGTGGGGACAGCCCAGGATGCCTGTTGATCATGTGAACGAGACTTTTGTCAAGTAACAAAGGTCACTCATCTTCAGACTAGAGGAGAGCTTTCTTCTGCCTTAACAGATTTTTCCTTCAAACTATATGAATTATATTGAAAACTGACAATGATGAGTCATATCTTAGCAAGGGTAAAATCCAAAAACGCAAATCCTCCAGGACTGGAGTAGGAGATTGCAGATCGGACTTGCAGGCCAAGTCTGGCCCTTCACTGAATTTGCCTGGCCGGTCTCAAACGCTGGGAGTGGGAGGACCCTCTTCCTGGTGGGCAGGTGATTTATTGGCTGGGAAGCTTCCGCTGTGATTTAGTTGTGAAACGAAACGGCGCCCTGCGAAGTGCAAGCTACTGCCTGCGCTGGGCGGGAGCGGCCGCCCACAATCGCGGCCGGAAGGGACCTCGGGGGTCGTCCGGGCCTGCCCCCCATTTCGCAGCTGAGGCGCGGTGGCTGGGGCAGTGAACGTGTGCCCAGGCGCTGCCGACCCTGTCTACCCGGAGCGTGGGCTGGAGACGGAGCAGCCTGGGAAGGGCCCTAGCCCCTCGGGCGCCCTCTCCCCGCTCGCCGCGGTAGGGAGGAAGTTTCTGCGCCTTGCCGCCCTGATGTACTCTTGTTTGGAAGGAGGACCCTGAGATACCAGCGCCGGGGCCGGCGGGCTCTGACTGCCGGACAAGGGTCGGGCCGGGGGCGGGGCTGGGGCCGGAGCTCGGGGCTTGGCGGGCGAGAGGGCGGCGCGGCGATCCAGGCCGCCTTTTGCAGCCGCCCGCGGCCGCGCCGGGCTCTGCGCGCCGCGCTCCTGCCTCCCGGCGGCGGCGGCCTCAGCCCCGCGCCCCTCGCGCCCCGCGCCGCGCGGCCCCGCCGCGGTCACACGCTGAGCCGCCCGCGGCCGCCTCCGCCCTGCGCTTTGTGGAGCGGGAGCCGAGTGACAGGCGGCGGCCTCTCGCCGACCCGGACCGTGCTTACCTGTGGCTGCCAGGGTCGGCCGCGCAGACCGGGCTTGGAGCCCCGAGGTGGGGGCCGGGGAGTCAAGAGCTGCCCCTACCGGGCGGGGAAGGGCTGCTTGGGAGGAATGGGACAAAGTGAAAGTCTCCGGGCTGGGCTTGGAGACGAGTCCGAAAATGGAGGGGGGGGCGGCAAGGGCCGTTGGGAGGAAGGAAGGGGTGCCGATTCTTTATTTGGTGGCTTGGAGTGGCTTTTAACGACAGAGATGGCGGGGCAGGCCGGCTGGGACTCGGGCTCCCAGTGGGCTTCCGAGATATTGGTGCCATCCTGGTGAATTCCTTGGATTGAGGAAGGGGCCTTTTAACCCTCTAGGGTGCCCTCTAGAGAAGAGTTTGGAACAGAACCAGGTTTGGTTCTGTTCCCTCTTCTGTTTGACACTTACGGGAAGCTTGGTTCTCAGGTGGAAGCAGTTGTGCTTTTTTGTTAAAACATGGAGCATATTTGTTGATACCTTCGTGCACCACACTGCGTCTGGTGGCCGAGGGGACAGATTGCGATTTAGCTTCAGACACAGGATGCCCTTCTGTTTAATGCGCTGCTCAGTCTGCTTGTGTGGAGTCGGGGTTCTGATGAGGCTGCTGGGGGCCTGCCCCGGCCAGCGGGTCCTAGCTGTGCCGCGGAAATACTCTCCCAGCCTGGTCAATATTCCTTAGCCCAGACTTTGTGGTGGTTATTCTGCTGATTGTAGATATCTTTGCTTTGCTGACATCCTGTTTTGTTTTTGGTTTTTACATCCCATTTGTTGTTTCTTTTTATCACAGAAACGCTTCGTTAAGGGACTCAGGCAGTACGGCAAGAACTTCTTCAGAATTAGAAAGGAGCTGCTTCCCAATAAGGAAACAGTGAGTACAATTGGACTTTATGTAACTTGATTTTTTTCCTCTTCGCTCCTGCTGCTTCTCCACATTGATCTTATGAAATGGTTTCCTTTAACCCTGTGCTGTGCTCAGACTCAGACTGGCCTCTAGAATTCTCTTCATTTTCCTTCCTTGACTTTTAATTTTAACTCATGATTTTTAAATGGTAAAATAACAGATTATGTTTATCTTCATGAAGAACATGGACCTCAGTGGTAACTATAAGAACAGAAAGGTCTTAGGGAACAGAGGGTAGGGGAGTGGTTGCTGGTCAGTTAAGGTATAAGTTTAAATATAGTGGCTGAAATAGGAAATGTCATTTATCACTGCTTTGAATTTGGTAACTGGCAAAAGTCATCAACTAAACCAGACAGTAGAATTAATAGGTTTATAGCTTATACTTTGAATTCAGTTGGGATTCTTTTTTCTTTATTTAATGTTCCTATGTTTGGAAGAGTAGTTTTAATTCCTTTAATATCCCAGCCCTAAGAGTTTGCACTTTTTGCTGGACAGATACACAAATGTTATTATAAATTGCTTAAATACAGTTTTTAAAAAATTCGTTTGGTATTTCACAAAGCCTGGGGTCAGATGTGACAAATACTCTTGTTAAACTTATAGGAGGGTTTGCTGAGGAGACTTTGGAGTGGAATTATATGAAGAAAGTGCTGGGAAGGGATGCATTCTCATTTACCTATAATTGTCTGTCCTCCTGATCCTCCCACAAGTGGTATTGAGCAGGGTAGGGGAGAAAGTCTTCCTCTGGCTAGGCCAAGGAATGGGAGGCTGGGAGATGGAGTGGGACCAACCATTTCACAGTGTCTGAGGCAGAAGCACAGGGCCCAGTGACCGAAATGCTCTTCAGGACTTTGGAGAGGAGTGATCTATATTTAATCTACCTAGACATTAAGCTGCTTTTTAAAGGAGTGGGTGTGGGAGATGGATGAAGATATCCATTATAAAAGGGGGTGGGATAATTTTGGGGTTTTTGTTTTGTTTTCTGATTGGGTGTTGTTTACTGATTTCCTCTTATTTACTTCTATCTTCTTAAAAATGAACTTTTTCTGGACACTTATTGTATAGTACCTTAAGGACAGCAATGACTTGTAGTGGGAAAGAAGGGTTATGCGATTTTAAGCATAGTCTTGTATAAGTTGATAATTTGTGTCCATCAGTGATGAGTAGATTAAACTTTTAATATTTATTCTGCACCTAATATGCTGAGATAGGTCTTATTGAGAATGATAAAAAGAGAGAGAGAAAACTGTTTATAAATACTAAACTAAAATGTATTATGGAGCCAATCTGTATAATCAACTTCTTGCTCTTTCCAGAACAAGTTGGAAAGGGGCATTTAATGTGGAATAGTCAAATAAATACTTTTTAAGTTTTCTGAAGATTTCAGTTATTTGAAGTTTGATACATACTTTTAAAGATTAAAATGCCTTTACCCAAATGTAGGAATTTGGTTTGACTGAGTAAATAAGAGAGGTATCGATGAGTAGATTTGTCCTGAAGGTATGATTGGCCAGATTGTAATATCTCAAATTTTATCTACCTCTGTGCTCTGCTAAAAGTTACAAACCTTCAAATATTTGATACCAGAAATCTCATGACAATTATCTTTCTGTTTTTTTTTTAATTTATAATAGCAGGATTAAGCATTGAATAAAAACCTACTGCCTAGCATTTAGAAACACCCTGATAAATTTATCTAGTGTTTTATCTCCTTAGTGGAAACAGATGTGAGTAACCATTAACCTGGGGAAAACTCTTCAAATCTGTTTTTCTTCTTGCTCTTGAGTGTCCCTTCATATTGAGGATTCTGGCTGAGTAAATGGCTTTTTTTTCTCCCATATAGACACTCTTAGTACACCAACCCTTTGAGCTAGATATCTGGTTGTCTTTTCCAGGTGTCTCTTTCCTAAGACCTTTCCCTATCACTACTTTGCTGTCGCCATTTCCCAGCCTTGTGGCTCCTCTCCTCCCTTCTCTGGCACCCAGCAGTCTTCCTATTTCCAGTCTTTCCATCAGGGCACCATCATTGGAACTAATGGGAGAGTCATTTGCAGCAGTGGAGGATTTATTGTGGCTGACATTGGCTAAACATTCATAGTGTCCTGCTGTCTCTTGCGTTGCAGTGGAGGAGTTTGGGAGTAGGGGAAATGTGTAAGTATTGTAATGAGCTGGGAGAGGCACTCATCTTGTATTTTCTTTAGTTATCCATGTAGCCAAGCTAATCATTTACAACCCACAGGGAGAGAAGGGCAAAGGTTATTTTTCACTTTTTGCTGCAGAAGATGAGAAAATTTATAGCTACCAGTGTTCTTGCTTCAAAACTTCCTGGGTAGAATTCTTATGGTCATACCACTTGTTATAGTAAATCCTTCTAATCTAGATACTTTTCATACTCTCTTCTACCCACCAGAATTATTAACTCGTTTTTTTGCCATTCTCAAGTGACTCGAAACATCAGAAGGGTGTCAGCATCCAAAAGAACACGCCTGATTGGGCGTAGGAACTAGGGTCAGCAGACCTGCGTTCTATTCTTGGCCTTACCGGTAACTATAGTACTTCATGATCTCTTTTGACTGTGCTGCCTGCTTGCTTTGAGCTGTTCATTGTGAAGTTCAGGTCAAATCCTGACAAGGACTGGGAATTCTTTCCTCTGAAATGGTGTTTCTTTGCATGAGAATTTTATAGGTGCTACAGTCTTTATAAAATGCTATATATTTAGCAGTTGCTGTGCCTGAGAGTGAAGTAAGTGAAGGTTCTTGCCCCCTCTGCCACTTAACTTGCTATGAGGCCTTAGGCAGATTATTCACCCCCGTGTCCTTTAATTTCTGTGTTTGTAAAATGAGGTGCTAATTCTAATTCCTACGCCTTAGAATTGTTTTGAGAGTTAAGTGAGATAATGTCTATAAAGAGTACATGAAAACACTTGAAAATGATTGTTATTATCTACTCCAAATACTACATAAGATAGCTAAATGCTATGAAAAGGACAGAATTACTTTTCACTTATTAATATATTGAGCCTGTGTAAAAAGAAGTTACCTGTTTTTCATTAGTCTTGCCAAAAACTCTATTAACTGAAAAACCTGGAAGGAGTGAAGGGTAGTACCTAGTTTAAAGAATCACTCTTGAAGCTTTGTCCAGGATCCTTCTGCTCTTACCAGTCATTTGGTGCATTTATGTCAGAGGAGTGTTCCTGGTGGGCACAGACATAAACAGCTTTCCTAGCTCTTTTGGTTTCTGGTGTTTATTACACAGGAGCTAAATCCAGCTTTTCTCTGAACACTGCTGCCCACTGAAGTGGGAATAGTGGCTGTGATTGCGGAAAACCAACTATTTATAGAACTTTAGTTGAATGGGTATTACGTGTTAACCTCATGGTACCCAAGAGAAAAACTGTTAAAGTCAGATTTTTTAGTATCGTGGTTGGGCAATATCCTATAGTTTATTATCCCTCTTCCCATTCTCTTTTTCTCTATAACCATTTACCTCCCCTCAATATACTTATAAAGTGTATAATTAGAAGGTAAAATACAGTAACAAATCTTGGCATAATAGCTCAGATTCTTCTTGGCCGTATACCTCATCTCTCTCAAGCCACTGTTTGTCCTAAACCACATCAGAGTCTTAGGTGTTAGTACATGCGTATAAATCGCAAAGAGTGTCCTGTCACTGAGCTTCTGGGAGGACAGTAGGGAGCCAGGCCTTTTGATTTTGCTTTGAGCACAGCTACTTTACTGTTGGGTAGATATGTTCCATGAGCTTTGATATTAAGGTAATGCCTGAAAAAACAGAGGCCTAATAGAGAATATTAATTACCTGGAGGGGGAGCCCCTGTTAGGAATAATCCAAAACCATGGATGGTCCAAAAATAATTTTTCGTGATTTTTATATTGCCGTGCTCTTCAAAATTATAAGACAGTTATTCAGGCAGCAGTGACATATATCTTCTCTCACTCTGAGAACATGTGTATGAAATTTGAACTGAAGACTTTTTGTGTCTGGCACCTGGATGATTGTCCCTTGAATCCTGGCCTTTGTTTATAGTGGCTTCTCTTACTTAGACAAATTTGGCTAGTGTTGAATTGTAGACGGGAGCACTTCCTAAGCGACCTGGCATTACTGTTCTTGTCTCAGGTGCAACTAAGGTTAGTAAGAAGATAGTTTGATCTTCCCCAACTTGGTAGAGAGAGGGGGGTACCCCCAAAGTGTTAGACTCTGGAGGGAGATGGAAGGTGAAAAGGCAAACTTTGGCTATCTTTCTTATCTTTTGATTTTAGTACCTAGCCTAGTAGAGATTAAGTCCATGTTATCTGTAAGCCCAGTTGGTGGTGCATTAATATTTACTATACTGGAAACTCATTTTCACTTACTTCCCATTTTCCTAACTAAATATTCCATATAATTCAATTTTTTAAAGTTCTGGGTACTCACTGAGTGCTGTAATGGGTAAGGTGTCTATGAAAAGAAGCAAGGTGCCAGCCCTGCCCTGCGGGGAGCCATGTTACATTTACATGGCTGCCATGCTTGGTAGCATATGCTAAGGGCCCTGGTGGCCGCACAGAGTGAGCACAAAGGCTGGGGTTTCCAGGAATGCTAACTGGAGCGGGTGGCGTTTGAAATGGGCTTTGAAGGAAGGATTCTTTTTTGATAGGCCGTGATTGGGAGAGTGGAGGAAAAGTGACTTTCCAGCTGTAGGGAACATTATGAGCAAAGGCACAGAGACAGGAAATTGTAAAACGTGCCCAGCAAGAACATGAGCGTGGTTGCAGAGGAGGTTGCATAAGCTGACACAGTAGGATTTAGGCCTAAATTATAGCTTGGAGTTAGACTTTGGGGGACCTTGAACTCAGATGTGTGTTTGGATAAGTGGGGCGACAGGATCCACTGAAGGCTTTTAAGAAGAGAAGTGAGAGCATCCTAGCTGTACTACGGGAGGGTATACAAGATGGGACCAGAGAGGAAGCTCT